GGTGTGATGGGGAGCAATTCCCTCCCAGTTTCCAGGCCCTGGTATCTTTGCCAGTAAAATGGTGAGTTACACCACCTGCTGCAGAGGGGTTTTGTGAGGCAGAATTAATTGAAGCTTAAGTCCCATAGAATGGTGCTATAAAAACGCAAAGCATATTATCTATTTCTGTGGTTCCACGTGGTGAGACTAATCAGTCCCAGGTCTTGTGGCAGGGTTTTAAAGAAAAATTAATGGATTTTTTTTTTTTTTTTTTTTTAAAAACCCTACACATTCTGTTGCATGTGGGACTGCTCTTTAGGGCTGCTGTCTAGTCCTGTTGAAGTCACAAGCAAGATTTTTTTTCTGACTCCAACAGGATTTGATTAAGGTTCTTCTCAATCATCCGAGATGGTGGATAAACATTCTCAGAGGTGTGGAACATGCTTTCTAGTTCTAGCCACATTTCTAAGTTGCCTCAGGTAGGTACCCAAGCTAATAATATAGGTATACATAGCCAAGGTGGGAGTGTGGGTCAGCAGTTGCCCTGGAAAGAGTTGGAGAGATGCAAGACGTTACCTGCTTTGCCCATACCCTTTCTCCCTGTGCATTGACAGCCCTCTGCAGAGGAATTTGTTCTGCTGCCTCTCAGCTGCAGTGTGGATTGTAGGAGCGCTCCCGGTCTGCTTTCCTGCAAAGTCAGATAGGATTGCTCATAGTATTGCTGAAAAATAGCTGAGATAACACAGCTGTCTTTGTACTGAAGTGAAAAAGGGGCATTTAAATGATTCATCAGCCTAACTCCTTGGCATGATGGCAACTCCCAGTAGGAGGAGCAGTAACTTTTGAAATAGCTCCCTCTAAATCCTGAGGGGAGTTATGTTTAAGGTGGCATTTTGGAGACCTCTGCAAGTGTATCAGTCTGTAAATGGAAAGCTTAACTATATGAGAGAGACAATAGGAAAAAACGGATACATCTATAGTCATGTCTTAATTAATTTTATGTCTATGCATTAGGTTAATCAGGTTTTCTATAGGAGTGCCAGATTTTTTAGTGGTAGTCATTCAAAAGTATTTAGGTTTTCCCCCAGCGCGCTTAGATGTTGATCTATGAGATGACTGGGCCGTGCTCTTGCTGCTTGGCTGGAATCAGAGTTATCTGCTAAACTCATAGCTAATGCTGTCCTTAGCAAGGAACAAAGGCCAGCTAAGAAACATAAAAATGAGCTAATTTTTTTAAGTTCTGTTTTTTCTTTTTTGATGTATGTGTAGGTTAAGGCCAAAAAATGGCTAAAGGTTCTCATTTAAAAAAAATTAATAAAGCCTTTCTGCAATTCTCCTGTTACCCCTAAATCAGCTTCATTTAGTGCTAAACCTTCCCTCCTCTTTGCTCCCCCCAAGTCATTTTTATTCTACTACTGCAATAAATATTAATGCCTTTCCCAGATGCAACCACTTAAAATATATATGTATATACAACAACCTACCAAATACTTCATGCTGATGCCCAGTTGCAGCTAAAATTTGACTGGAGAATCTCTGAAAGGAGAAAAAGAGAGGGATGGTTCAGCTACAGGAAAGATAAAAATTCCTGTGTATGCATCTAAATAAATCTAAATCTGGGGTGATGGGAGGGAAAACTGTCTCAGTGTAGTGTCTCCAGTGAGCTCCAAAGAAACCACAAACGTCTTAGCACGGGCAATATATATGAATACTGCCACAATGCTTAAGTACTAAACCCCAAAGCCAGCACTTTCAAAAGTGAGATGAGGAATTACTGATGCTGATTTTGTGATCTCTTAGAAATATACAGTTTTCAGCAGCTCAGGTGCTCAGTAATTCCAGAAGGTCGGGCATCTTTAAGTTGTCTCAAGTGGGACCCCCAAAATTGCCGTTGGTTAAATATCCTGCCTGAACACCCTAAAGCTCGGTGCGTTTGCATGCTGAACGCTTTTTATTGCAAAGCAGTCGGTGAGCGATGAGAATGCTCTGCGTCTTGGAGGAGGCAGACAGCTTGGAGAGAAGGAGAGTTTTGGTTTCTGTGTGTTAGTGGACAATGCACCCGTTGGTATGAACTAGCGCAGATCTAATTGAAATCCAAGTTAATTTTCACATGTGCTGCTGATTTACGTTTGCTGGGGATCTGAACCCAAATTTTCTGGAGACATTTAGCAGAAAATATGAATTTAGTTCATTGCCATGCAGTGTTGCAGAGTTCAGTCATGGATACTGTTAAACGTACACTTAGAATTTTTACCTTTTTGTATCTGCCCGTTGGGGGTTTGTGTGACACGCAGTACTGCAGTGTCTTCGCTCTTCCCAAAGTCAGTTCAGCTGACACAGCGAGTTCTCTCACAGACGCCTCTACTCAGATTTTCTTCGTTCTTTAGTTCGTGTTGATCATTTTTCTCATCTAGATGAACAGGGATGTAAGCATTTAAAAAATTTAAAAAGGAAACTGGAGATTTTCCTGATTAATTTGATCATTTATTTTTCCTTGAAAGTAACAGCTTCTTGTGGATTTGTGTTTGCAGTTATCCTCCAGAATAATCAGTTAGCCAGTGGCTCCTTGATTTTCATGTGAAAGTTACTTGCCTTGGTTTCATTATATAGTTTGGTTCTGTTCTGCAGTTTTTCCTTCCGTAGGTAGGTCTCAGTAACAGAAGCTGTTTATATATCTGCAAATATTTTTTTATATCTCGAAGAAGAGGGCAGGATAAAAAGGAGTGTTTGCGAGTAAAATTTCTGGCTCAAATTCTCCTGTGAATCTTTGAGTGGGCTGGCATGTATAGTATTTTTCCTTCTGAAACATTCTTACAGATAAAATCTTGCTTACTGAATCATTCAAATAAAACAGGTCACGGGTTTTAGCATGAGGAGTTAATAAGACTTACTTGATAGAATATATTCACTCAGTGCTGCTCCTGAGGCACCAAGTTCTGTAGGATTTTGAGTTCGGAATGCAGGGAGGTGACCAGGGCTGTGTTCACAGAAGTTGCCCTCTGACAGCCGAGCACGGAGCCGTCTCTCCCGCTGAACCTGCGTGCCAATGGGAAGAGAGCCCACAGCAGGACGCGGTACTTTCATCCTAATCGGAGCTCCGGGAAGAACCAGTGAGCTCTTTAACTCATAAATGAGAAGGAATGATGGAGATAAAAATAACAGTCTGCAAAACGCACACAGAGAGAAAATAAGTATTTTAGATATTTTTAAAATGTTTGTGAGACATTTAAGGAAAAAAGGAACATTTTAATTTAAAACACACACTGGAAGGATGTGTTTTGTGACAGTCATTTTCTATGACGTTACCTGAGTCTTTCTGGTGGGTTCAATTGTCACGAGGTTTTCGAAGGGTTTTGTTTGTTCAAGCAACACAGAAATGGATCAGATCCTTCGATATCTCTTTGTATGTTTGGGGCAGACAGGAGAGAAATACCGTGATGTAAGTGGTGCAAAGAAAGTAGCAATAACAAGGGAGAGTGGATTTTGGCTTTATTGTCTTGCGTTAGGACTATTTTCGTGGTTGTTGTTGGTAAACCCTAGGAAATATACATCTTTCTCCTTTAAAGTTCTAATTCAAGGCATGAATGTGTGAGTTCTGAAGGGACTTAGGGACTGCGGTAAAAAATCGTTGTCATAGTAACAGAAAGGGAAATAGGCCTGGCTCACCTGGGGCTTTTACTTACTGCAAAAGCGGGTTTTTTTTTTTTTTTTTTTTTAAGGAAAGCACTCAGCAAGAGGAAATAAATAAATAAATTGTTCTTTGTATTCTAAATCAATTCTTCAACTATTTATTTTTTTCTTCTATCCAAGGCTTTTTCGTTCAAAATCTATCTTAAAGTCTCTGATTTTTTTTATTTTAATTGTTTCAGTTAAACCCATTTTGTCCAACAGATGGAAATGGAACGAATCACAGCAAATATTTTCACTTGCAATAGGGGATGCCAAAAAAATTTCTTGCCCGTTATATCTGAATTTTGAAGACATGCTTGTTTTGTTTTTAACCCAACAACTATGCTCTTTCGTATAGTTTCTTTATTGCTGAAATTTAGAAATTTAATCAGATGAATCAGATAACAAAGGGATGAATCGACTCCTCCGTGGATTTGACATAAAATTTTGTGGGAAAGCTTATAAAAAATGCGTGCCTAATATCTCTAGACTGTAATATCTATATGCTCTGTATACATAGTGTTGGGTAAGCCAATCAAGCATGCTGAAGATTCAACTTGTGTACGTGACAAGCCAAACTCTACACAATAATAGCACATAAAGATAGGCGTCTGTGACAGGGCAAAAATAATTGGCACAAGAACTTTGTACAATGGTAATAGGTTTATCTGCCTGGACAGCGTGAGCTGTCATGTATTACTTCAGGTTGTGTTTTTGTTATCCTCTCTCAAAATGTGTGTAAGATTATAATCTGGATTTTTGGCTGTTCTGCTTCTCTGCTTTAGTTACTGAAATCTTAATAACTAAAAATGTTGTCGTGATGAAATCTCATCGGCTTCTTCTGGGAGCTGTATTTTTTTTCTATGTTTTTTAATACATTCTAAGTAGTTTCAAGGCTTATCTGCCTCAGAGTTGCCTTGTCGGTTTTTTAGTTTTTACAATAACATGATCCTTCTATATTGTTTCACGGAAAATCCCTTCAGACAGCAAAAGAAAGACCTTGTATGCAAGGGAGAGATAAAGAAAGAGACTAAAATTGTGTGGTCAAACATGCGGGGAGGAAGCTGGCATAAATCAGAGTAGATACGTCGAGTTATACCAGCTCACAGCCCAGCTCAGAGTGATTACAGTCACATTGGTCATACTTTACCTGATTTTTTTTTTTTTTTTTTTAACTTCTGTTTGTTATGGTTTGTTTTTGTTTGTCTTGTGTCTGTTTTGGTAAGTTCTTACAGTCCTGGTCTACTGATACACCATCATGTAAATCATGACGATGTATACTTTAAAACAGAATAGAACAACACATATTCTGTTGTGGTTAATAGAAGCGGCATGGTTCTTTATCTTTGCAGATTCTTCTTAAAGTTTTTCCTCAAGTGCAATCAGAATTGTTTGAAAACAGCAGGAAACCCAAGAGATATGAGACGATTCCAGGTAAGTCTTTTAAGGCTCAGCATTAACCTGTCTGCTTTTTTTCTGTTTTTCCTTTTCCCGCTCCTCTCTCCCCTTGCCTACATTGTTCATAATAAATATGAGGACAGTATATGATAAGCCTTATCAGATATTGTTAAAGTTTTTCTCCATTTGTTGTGTTTAAACCTTTTTTTTCCCCCTTTTTTCCTCTTTTTCCACTCTGAATCCCCAAGGGGAAGTGATGTACTGTACCAACCAGCAGTGGATATTTGATTTGACACCCTCGGGCAAAGCACTCGCACATACAGCTGCCCACAGCAGGGATCATGTTTGTGATACTTAGATGCCTCAGAATTTTTCAAAGTAGCTCTGTACGTGGTACAGAAGCAGTCTCCTCATTTCCCTCCACTCCCTATCTCTTTCCATCTCTATTGCCTTTTAACTCTCTCATGCCCTCCCTTTCAGCTTCTTTAAAAAAAGAAGCCCAAATAGTGATGGTCACTTTAAGATCTCACGCAGCAAAGCAACAAGACCCATGGGACAGTGACCCAGCTGCTTTGCAGTGAGATCTGCCACTGGTTTATCATAGCTGTCGCTGATGTATTGTGAATACCAGCTAATAAAACACAGAAGGAGGTGAAGTGTGTCAGCGGTAAAGGCAGACACAGTCCCTTATCTTTTGTACCCTAACCTTTTAAGCAACCATGTTTAATAAACAAGTATTTTACCTGTAACTTAGCCCTCACAAAAATGTAAATGGGATGCTCAAGCCTTTGACATCCTGGACGCAGTGTCACTCTCTGTGCAGCAAGGAAGGTGGCACAACAGCGAACGCTGTAGAGAAGTGATGCTAGAACTGACTCTGGTGAGGCAGCACGGTCTAGCAAAAGGGCTGCCAGATTGCCAGTCAGATGGTTGGGCTGTACCACTGGTTTGCTGGGTCACCTTTGAGGAGCTGTTTTTCCTTTCTTTTAGTGTATATTTCCAGCTCTCCAAATGGGGTTTGGTAAAACTTGGGGGTCTTGGTGCAGCAGAGCATTTGAGAAGGTGCACACATGCTTTGCCAGCCAGAGCCTTTGAAACCTACAGAGAGAAATCGGGACTGTCCTTGTAAATGCCGTTACTGCTTGTCATCGTTATTATTGCACCTTCACTGTCTCATGGTACTGACACAAAGAGGATTTTAGCTTATTGAGGGATGGGTGATTTTCGTGTAGACCCACAAGTATTGTAGTGGGAAGGTGAGATCCTTAGCTTTGGCAATTCATGTTTCATTGCTTGGGCACTTGCATCAGCTTCCTCATTTGTAAATGAAATTACAACTCCACAGGAGTTTACAGAGTTGTTTAAAACTTTCCACCGAAACATGTTTTCACAGACAAGTGATTTTTTTTTTTTCACTGTTATTAGCAATGAAAAATTCACGGGAGGTGTATTTTTATAAAAAAAAAAAAAAAAAAAAGAGTTAAACTTTTAAGAGAAATACTGCAAAATGAAAGCTTCTGGACGCTCCTAAAAATTATTAAGGAAATGTAGGAAAAAATATAAAAGAGTTATTAATTTTTTGTTTTGAGCAGAAGTAAATATAAGGAAAAATTCCTGACCAACTTAATTTTTTTTACTAGTAGTTTAAAGAGACTGCAGCGACTTCTTTATTCTGTGTTTTTAGAGATGATAAGACATGAGAAAAAAAGTGGTGCTCAATGTTAGGAAATTTAAATTGATTTTTTTTTTTTCAAGTGGCAATTTCCATAAAGAAAAAACACCAATTAGATATCATCTGCCAAGAACGTGAAAAAATTTGAGAGTAAAGGAAAGCTCAGTTTGTAGCTTGTAAACAGATCTTGCTAGCTCTTAGAGCCAGCTAGAATAGCTGATTGTGGAGTGCAAAGAAACATAAATACAGAGCCTCTTTTTTGTTGTTTGGAGTTTGAGTTTTTTGAGGTTTTTTTTTTTTGAGTTATGAGTTTGTAAAAATTCTTGCACCAAAGGTATCCTCATTAGCACCTGGGGATGTGAGGCACTGCCATATTGCAAATAATATTGGTTTTAAAAGGCAAAATATAAATTCTGGATCCAAACACACCTGAACACTGAAGAAATTCAGATTTGATTTCAACCTCATGCTAGCTGCCCCCTCTCTATGATGCGTGAAACTAAAATCCTAGATTTCGATCAGGTGCTGAACTGCAGGAGGATTTTGGATCTAATTTTTTTGGCAGAAATCTACCTCTAGTATCAGCCTTATTTGTTGTTTCACTTCTGTATCTCCACACCAAAAATGGTGATGATGTAGAGCCTAAACAGCTTCAAATTTCCAGTGAAACATCAAAAAGGGAAACTGGAATGAGTCTTAAGGCACCCAGATGGTTACTGATGGAACGCCTTCATTCCTTCAGCCCATCCACCTGACATGCCTCTTGAATATCAGAAAGTGGGGCCTACCTTGTGATCTTTGTACCAAAATCAGCAGTTTATTGGAGAAGAAAATGAACTGGGATAGACTCTTCATCTGGGTTTTCTGCCTTACAACGTGCCAAGCCAGAAAAATGGAGCCAAGTGAAACTCTCTGGGTCTGTTGTGCAGGTTTACTTCAACTGCTTTTGCACTTTCAGTCCATTGAAGTTCATCCCCTTTCAGTTTCATTGTGCTGTTTCAGTTCAAACCCCCAAATTAATCAAGATCAGGCAAAACCACTAGGTTTAGCTTACTTCTTGTCAAAACCAAAAATGTTGACAAGACTTTTTTTCAGAGTTACAAAAATGAACCCTTTGAGACAAATTGCAAAATGCTTGAGGTTTTGTGTGAAAGCAGGATCTTCGTGCAGGCTGGTTCAAACCTGGACGTGTCGGTTGATGAGCTTTGTTCTGGGCTACAGAGGTCAGTATGTGTAAAAAAAAGATCCAAAAAGTAGTTCAATTGCTAAAATTTTACACATTGGGAATAAAAAAGCTCTGCGTTCCAAAGGAAATTAGCCATGATGAACTGTAAAGACAATAAGCAAAACCAGCTTGTTTTCCGTCTGTGTCGTTGTTTCTAAGGATAGAAGTATGACTTCCCTGAAATAACAAAAGTGTTCTTGAGTGCTCCACTGTCTCTGTCTTCTGGATCCTCCTTTTTTTTTGGTAGATTTTTGAGTGGGTTTTTTTGTTTTGTTTTGTGTTTTGGTTTTTGTTTTTAAATTTGGGCAAACATTTTTTTTGCTGCTGCTTGTTGAGCACGGTCTGTCAGCTACCCTGAAAGTCGGAAGTGGGGAAAAAAACATAGATCACTGCAAATATCAGTGGTGTGCTTGCACACTGTAAGCACGTTCGATTTCATTTTGATTGTGAAGATTTATGTCAGGCAAAGTAATTAATGTGCAGAATTTTTTATTAGGTTTGAAAGGACAGTTGTTCATCTTACCAGTACAGGAACACGTGAGTAGAGTAAAAGCAGGTCAAAAAGCACAGTGCAGTGATTTAATTCATTATATTTTATTCTTGGGCCACAGCTAAAACCTTTATTGTTTTTCCTTATAAATTATTTGTACAGCTGTTGTTATTAAGGCCCTCCTCTTTCAAACATTTCCACATGTTTAACTTTCCTTATGCAGACTTCTGCAGCGATGCTTAGTTGAGTATCTTTTAATTTGTACCTATGTTTTTCTGCAGAACCAAATATATTCATTTTCAATGGAGGAATGCTTGTTAGATCTCCAGGAGCCATTAAGATACCCTTTTTAATAGTTATTAAAAAAAAACCAGGAGAGAGAATCCTTATATCAAAATTCTCATTTAAATTGCTACTGAAACCTGGAACTGAGAGGGTCTCATCAAAAAACATTTTTGCTCTTTAATGGAAATTGAATGAAAGCCCAAAACTCAGGCTTTGTTGTCGAGACACAAATATAAATAAGAGACATGGAAGTAGTGCTGTACAATGCATCTTGTTGAGTTCTTCCAGCATGGAAGAATGGTTACTCATGTTTGGAAAAGTGTCAAATTAATGCTTCAGATTAGAGATGGGTGTGAAGCTACACGGTTTGGGCTTGGTTTGGCTGAGAACCAGAGTTCCAGGGCGTTGGGATCCAGTCTCTGAGCCTGGCCTCAGCCTCATTTCTAGATATAAGATTTAGATATAGTATAGTTAGGATATATTAAACTAAATTAAATGTTAGATTTTGCTTATATCACACCCATTTAAAAACAGGGGGGTGGGGAGAAAAAGGGGTGGAAAGGTTACATTAACACTGCATTGTAAATTTAATATAGCTCCAGATGCCTGAAGAGGGTTTTTTTTCAGTATGATTCTTTAGTTTGGAGAGCAACACCAGCTGCTTTGTGATCACATTACCTATTTGAAATTTGCTTTGATATTAAGTAGAGCTTCAAAAATACAATGAAGATCTCTTAACTTTCATTTTATTTTAATCAAATACAAAGATCCTCTACTGTTGAAAAAATTGTTATACTTCAGAAGTTAAAGGAAATGTGATCATTATTTTAGCGGGGGTTTCTTCCCCAGTAGTGACATAATTCTACTGTGCATCACTCACTACTTCAGTGTCTGTCAGCGGCTAAAGCAGGGAAAAGGAATCTTTCTAGAACTAATGGATATTTTCATGGTTACTTGATGGCTGCCCAAATATGTATGCAGATCAAGTAATATGTCCTTGTGAATTTTACTGAAGCAAATATTGATTATTTATCCATTTAAATATTTCTGAATAAAGATTGTCAGCGGCAAACCGAAACAAAAAAGTATGCTAAAATCACCTATTCAAACCATAGCGCTGACTATTTGAGTTCAGCTACTCTGCAAATCTGAGTTTTTGTAGGTGTTGTCATTACTGTCATTGCTGTATTCTCAGTGAGTGATTCTCCCAGGAACAGAATGAAAAACTATGATGCCCTCCATTTAATGAGGACTTCTCCTAGAGAACTTGATTGAAGCCCAGTGATACTTAATGGTAACGACCGGTGTGTAATGGGGGACAATAATTCTGTGGAATTAAGATGAGGCACTTCAGCTAAAATGCT